CTTTCCTCAGCTCCTGCATGGGTGGGGAGGCAGGAGCAGGTCAGGTCAGCCTCCTGAACCCTGCCACCTCTGATGACATCGATACTGCAGGCTAAGGGTATTCCCAAGGCTGCTCTCAGGACCGGGCTTGCCTCCCTCCTGCATGGCACATGCCCTGAGCATAGCCACGGAGTGCCATGGAGGAGTACACAAGCCCCTCATACCTCTTCAGACCCAACGCTCAGGGTCCTGGCAAAGACGCAGGGAGCCCCCAGGCCCTGCGCACAACATTAGCGAGGAGACCCTTGGGCAGCAGACAGCTGCGATGGCCTTCAGGCCTCTCCAGAGGCTGCTTTCCGTGCTGTATGGATGTCGACTTCAAGCCCGGTAGTTGTGGTTGCCTTCCCTTCACCCTGAATTTGGAAAATCGTCATGCCATGGTCTCCAGCACTCCATTCCTTTGGCATGTCCAGTGAGGCAGTGTCTGCACATGGACTAGTCCACGCCTGTCAAAGTGCTGGATGGGAGGCAGAGCAGGGTAGGACACTGGCTAACTTCCCTGAGCCTTCAGGCTCCAGAGAAGAAATGACCCCTTTTATCTCCAGAAAAATGAAAGAATTGCAGAGACAATAAACAAAGGGCTGCATTAAAACCTCTGTTTGCAGGAGATAGTGAAGATTTCAATGATACCGTGCTCCCCTGCAGGAGGAGGGATTAAGAGTGTTACAGGACAGATTTACAAACCCTGGAGAGAGTAAGTAGGCAACGGAAATCTTTGGCAATTCCCTTCTCTTCCTCTTCTGGGTCTCACCCTGGCTTCTGGTAACACTTAGAACAAAGCCACCAGCTCTTGCTTATTTTAATGTGTTCTCTATTTCGCCTTGAACCCAAACATCAAAGGTCTGGCTCAAGCACTTGCAAGTAAAAATAGCTCTAAAGCCAATATATTTAAGGCCCCTGAATGATATCTCTGAAATAATTCATCCTAAGCCCATGAGAGGGGAATGGTGGTGTTTGTTAAAGGAATATGTGCGTTGTGCTGATAGTGGGCAGTACTGACATGTAAAGAGCAATGACTGATACTGCAAAACAAAAGGAAGGTGAGAAAGGGGGCATGAAGACTGCATTGCACTGTATTGTGGAAGAGCAGCAAAATATATTTAAGATAAAAGCCAGTTTCAAGCTGCCTTTATTTTCTTTTCCAATCTGATCCTTCTTTTCCCTTCTTAGAAATTTAGACTTGAATGTGTCTTTCTTGGTACATGAGAGTGTGGTAAATCTTGGTACATCCGTGGTATGCGGGAGTTGACTCTCTCCCATACAGTACTGCAAATTGTTTATTACTGTGCAGGACTCATTTCTTCTCTGTGACTTGCCCATCTTTGAAGTAAGATAAATCAAGGCTATGAAAGCATCAGACACATCCCATGTAGTCCCTTTTTATCAGCTTTTTGTCTCTATTGTTCTGTATTTGAACAAAACACTATGCTTTCTACTCTTTGTCACTACAAACTTTTGCCTTAAATTCCTTTACTTCATAGCTAAATAATGTTTTCTTTTTCCATCTTCTAGTAATAAGGTAAATGCACCTTTGCAGTCATTATTCCTTACTGCCTTTACATCTGCACTTTCTCACTGAAACTTGGGCAAGGGTTGCTTGAGCCATTGCAATAGCATTACCAGGTGGGATTTTCTGGAAGAGATCCATGTAAGTCCTGTCTTCCTCTGATTTGATGTTTTTCATCACCATTTTTCAGCAAATGGTTCCCAAACACAACATTTCTAATTAGTCTTTTGCAGATACAATGGAGGGGTGCTGCAGGGTATTCCACAGACTCCTGCCCATCTTGACAGACATTTTATGAAATCTCTTGAGTTGTGAAGGAGGCTTTCTTTAACAGGATGGTACTCAAAAGAAGTTGGAAAGTATACTTGATTTTAAGCACAGACACACATCCTTCAAAGGCTGCTACACAGAGAAAGCCACTAAAGTGAGTATATCCTTATGGCTCACCAGTGAGGAACACGAACATGGCCATATGGAGCAGATGAAAGTTTCAAACCACTGTGAGCAGTGCAGTCAAGAGTCCCATTAGTTGAGCCAGAGAAGAGGAGAATAATGGGTCAAAAATGGCCAAATACAACGGGCCAAATGCTGGAGGGTGTGAAAAAACCAGACCTATGCCTTGCAGCCCTCAAGGCTGCTCTATTAACGTGAGGGCTCACTGCATTTATTTAAGCAGGATGAACAAGATAAAAAGAGCTTGTTGGTGTTGGATGCTGAGGCAGTGTTTAAGACATCCCTGACTCACAGCTTGCAAGCTGGGACTCGTTTTGCAAGTTCAGTCCCTGTTCAGATAGGATCAGGGAATGTCTCTGGGCTGGATTGCGAAGGAAGCAGAGTCTTGCCAAATATGCTCTGCCCACAGCATCGTCCAGACCCGTCAGATGATATTTCTTCTAATTTTACTAATGTATGCTTGGCCCCGATTCCACACTACCTGAGGCTACAGCCGTAATAAAAACACAGCACACATGCTGTGGGTGGGTGCGTGCAGCTGGTGGGAGTTGAGGCACGTGAAAACGAAAAACACAACCCTTTCTTAATTGCAGCATAGAAATCAAGAAATAATATTCTTCTGATTCCCTGGCTTCTCACTCTCACTCTGGCACACCCTCACCCATAGCCCTATCAGTTGCCAGAGAAAATGACAACAGGTTTCCTCCGTACGTAGGTTGCTCCATTCCCTGAGCAATGCTTAGATTTTCGGGCAGAAGTGGGCTTGTATGCCACACACAGCTTGTGTTCAGGTGTGGCTCCTATGCTAGCACCATCCCACGTACACACCTTGTGGGTTGCACTGGTGGATGGGGTGTTGGTGGTCTAATCCCTACCTGAGGATGAAACCGTCAGGCTACTGTCCTGCCGTGGTCATGCCGTGGGATGGAGTGAATGAGCCCTTGACACACGTGTGGGAGGTGGGTTGTATTGCAGTTCGGGGCTGTGTGAAAATCTCACTAAGCAGCTCATGGATTTGGAAAAGTTGGACTTCTTTGGGCCATAAGCCCTCCTGAATATACAACTTAAAACATCATCACCATTGTGTCTGTAGAAAAGAAATTAAAACTGAGGCCCAAGAGAAGTCAGGGGCTTGATAGGGAAAAGCAAAGCTAGTACTAGTGTCCGTGGGACTTGTTAGTCAGGGGACATGGGGAACCTATTGACTTTAACCAAGAAACAGTGCCAAGCCTAGGACCAGACCTCCAGTTGTTTCTAGGCCAGGTGTGCTGCCTCAGTGAGGGCGTTTGCCCTGGGTGTGCATACCTCCATCGACCAGTACTGACCCTCATCCTGAAAGGGAAGGGGCAGAGAGGAACTCCTTAGTGCAGCCTTGCTTCTGCTCTTGGGATGTAAACACAGGCATTAGAGGGATACTCCATCAAAGGAGCAGAACATGTTGAGGTACAAATATCATGCTCACCACTGAAACCAGCCAGCTATTGCAGCTCTTGATCTCCCTACCACATCACCCCACTAACACGTAATCCTGATATCACTTGTTAGGAGCCACCTTGTTCTCCGATGGCTTGTCCCACTGGAATCACTTGCAGAAAGAATCAGCACGGGTAGTGCTGAGGAGGCAGTTTATGTGCTGGGAAATTTGGGATTTTTATGGACCAGTAAAAGTTTCAAGCCTCTGACATTAGACCGAATCCTTCTTTCCAAGCCTATAGTAAGCATTGCAGATATCGGGAGTATTTTTAGTCTAAAAGTTTACATTCATCACACGTAACAGAGTCTATATGTGTTGATTTTCAATAACAGCATTTTATTTACTGGCAGCATTTTTTGCTGGCTGATGTTTAGCGAGTCCACCTGCTGATGCCCAACCCTGCAGGATGATATGCAAGTAAAGATGATGCAAGAAACAGAAAATGGTCACTTCCTTCTTCCACTTCTTCTTTTGATTTATTTCACACAGTTGGTATATTAGTGATTGCTTTTTTCACTGGTCTGTGCTGTCATTTGTCTCAGATGCCCTAAAACCTCTTGCCCAAACAATGTACTGTCATATCAGGAGCAGTTACTTTTCCTCACTCTCTCGAGGGGAACCTCCACCCCTCTCTAGGCAAAACACATGAGATGCTAAGGCTTAAAATTTATGGAGCTTGATTTAAAAGCCAGGATGTCTCCTGGCCTCAAGGGAAGGGAAATGACCCTTGGCTTATTTTGCAGTCACTCTTTTTTAGAGAAGGAAGTGCTAATAAGCACTCACTTGAGGCACAGCAGCTTAGGACAAACGAAGGCCAAAAAGCAGCCGCGTAATTGCTGTGACTGGGAATAAAGAGGAGCCAAGGAGAACACGTGAGAATTTTCCCTTGTGAGCGGTGCTCTGCGAGCGATACACATCAGCAGTCACGCTAATGTCTGAGGCGGGAGCTACCGAACATCCAGAGCTGCCCCTGGGGGGCTGCTTCCCCTCCTAAAGCAGCTCAGCTGGAGCCCACTGCAGGAGCTGGGTGGTGGGGACACATCCACGGCTGCAGTCGGGGAGAGGAGACAGAAGGGAGAGGCAGCACTTGGGAAAGGAACTGTGTGAAAATCACCGCAGACATTGGTAGGCGTTAGACATGGAGAGAGTACCTAGCACACCCTGCAGATACGTGAGCGCTTGAGCCGTTTGAGAACATCTCCGAAACCCAGCCACGCTCACCCAGGGGAAAACTCAGGTGAGATTTGAAAGCACAGCATCCTCTGGCTCTCGGGAGCCCTCCTGGAGGCATGTCAGGGCACTCGCTCCATCTGCACCCAGCACCTTCCCCTCATGACGAGCCTCCCCACAGCCTCCCTGGTGGGGACCTGTCCCCTTGGCTGTGCCCGAGTGGCCCAGCCCTGGGTCCCCCTCCACGCACCCCAAAAGCGACCATGCTCCAGGCCCCGTGGGACACCACACACACAGCAACACAGACCCAACGCATGATGCAGCTGGGAGTCAGAAAGGGCCGTTAGTTTGTCTTACCTGGCTTGGCAATCACAGACCATCAGATTTCACCCGAGTACTGGGTCTGACGTCTTGGTTAGGCAACATATCTTGGTCGTCTCAAGACTATAGGGTCTCAGTCAAAAGTCGGGATGGGATAGACCGATCCTGCTGTTGTCTGATGCCTCATCAATGGCAGAGAAGGGCTTGGGTGAGCTGTGCCTCCATGATACCAGCAGGCAATCAGCAACGCACTACTGTAGAGGATGGCAAAAAGAATCCAGGTCCTTGCTCTCTGATCTGAGGGAAAAACAGTTTTGAACCTCAAACACAGTAATCACTTTGACCCTCAGCAAGTTAGAGTCAAGAGTCAAAAGGGGATGTGGCAACACTGCCATGTACAACTGTTGCACCACTCTTCTTGTTGCACTTCCACTTATTGCTCAAGCATGGCCCACAAGCCTTCTGGCCAGGATTTGCCAGTGTAATACTGAATAAAAGTTCAGAGTGATAGTGTATAGCATCCTCATTAATAATTGTTAATAGTTCCCAGACAACATGTAAAACGAACATAAGTAATTTCTTAATGAAAGACTTGATGCACACAAACTTGTGCACGCCATTTTAATACTAGAAATAGCTTATAAGAAAATCAAATATCAGGCAGTAAACCTAGAAGTCCTCAACAATAAATTCTTTTGTGTTCCTCATTTATATGGCCTTTTCTTGCTGTTACATACTATAAAGTCTCAGAAGGGGATTTGCTGTCAGGTATGTATGTAAACACATATTCCCACCAGATCTTTCAGAGATGATGCCCCTCTGTAGTGTCCTCATCTTACAAGAGTGAGGGAATGGCAGTACCTTAGCCTCTCCCCAACAAGCAATTCATCAACTAATAAAGGTGATTATCCTGCTGTATTTAGCATCGATGTGGCATCACATTGAGTACAATGTGCAGTCCTGGGCCCCACAATTTAGGAAGGATGTTCAGGTACTCGAATGCATCCAGAGGAGGGCAAGAAAGCTGGTGAAAGGGCTGGAAAGAATGTCCTATGAGGAGCGGCTAAGGACTTTGGGCTTCTCTAGTTTAGAGAAAAGGAGGCTGAGGAGTGACCTCATCGCTCTCTACAACTTTCTGAGGAAGAGAAGTGGAGAGGGAGGTGCTGAGCTCTTCTCCCTGATATCCAGTGATAGGATGCATGGGAATGGTTCAAAGCTGCACCAGGGGAGGTTCAGACTTGATATTAGGAAGCATTTCCTTACCAAGCGGGTGGTCAAACATTGGAACAGGCTTCCTTGGGAGGTGGTCAATGCCTGAAGCCTTTCAGTGTTTAAGAGGCATTTAGACAATGCCCTTAATAACATGCTTTAACTTTTGGTCAGCCCTGAAGTGGTCAGGCAGTTGGACTAGATGATCCTTGTAGGTCCCTTCCAACTGAAATAGTCTATTCTGTTCTATTCTATTCTATTTCTTTTACCAGAGACGTTTCCCCTTAGCCCCCGGCTGCTGGCAAAGGCCCCTGCTCACCTTCCACACATGCCACGAAGTCCAGCTCCCCTGGGGAACAGGTTGCTCAAACTGAGTCCACAAGAGAGAACTGCTAAAACACAATCTTCTCCCTCTGCGCTCTGGTTTGGTGAGTGTGACTGAGTGCAACCTCCCAGCTCGACCGCCTACGCTAACGCTCTGTCCTGGGGAAATGACACCTGAGCATTTCCAGTAAGCGCTGCATCCTTTCACTGGCTGCTTCTGGGAACTCCCAGCTGAATCACCCAGACCTCTGCAGACATACGTGCATTTCACACTGTTTCTCTCTGTCTCTGGAGAAACCAATCTATGTGCACCCTCTTAGAGCATGTGAGGTGCTCTGGCAAGGCCAATCAGCCAGATACCAGCCAGACCGAAGAGTATTTTCAGGAACACTTCAATTTGCAGGTCTGTCCCTTTTGCTGTCATATTGGGAACTGGAAGCATCCTGAGCCTTCAGAGGGAGGTGGTAAATGAACAAAAAATATGCTCTTAGAATGCATCTACTCCTATAGGAGCCACGAGCTTGTATTACTGTCATATTTTGAAGACAGAGCCACATATGTGATAAACATATTGAGGACAATTGCAGCTGACTGCCTTCTCCATAACATCTTGGAAGAGGGAGAACAGGAGTTGGATTCAGAGGGAAAAGTACTCCCCACATCATGCAATCTTGCCCTATTTTACATACTCACTTCACTGAGGAGTATTCCCAGTAGCTGGATCAAAGCACATCATGCAGAAAAACATCCTTTCTTGCTACAACAAAGTGGGAAGGTGAGATATCAGTGCACGCCTCGCTGCAAGGCTGGGTTTGCCAGGCTTCACGTTGTTTGATTGTGTTGCACCTTCACTAGCAAGACTGAAAAGCCTCTCCAGTTCCCCTCTGTTACATCTCTTCCAGGTGGAATCACCCACCTGCAGTGATTAAGTCACTTCTCAACCTGCTGTCTGACAAGCAAAAAGCATCCTGGTCCTCAATCCACAAAGCTCATTTTCCAGCTGCAGTCTCACTTCACTGATCCTCCTTTACACCCTCCAGTGTCTTCATGTTCTCTTGCTGCCCTAGCACGAGCCATTCTTGTGACAGATGCAAGATTGCTTTCCTGATTGCACGTCATTCCAGCTTCCATCCCTCTGTGAAAGACCTAGACTTTTCTTGTCACCCCACTGCATGAAGAGCATCTCTTGACATGTTGGCACCGCTTCCCAAAGCAGTCTCCCATCCTGTAGGTAGAACAGGGGTTTGCTTGAGATGGAGAGACTGCAGCTGTGCCAGACTTTCCGGATAGCATTTGTCAGAGCGTATGTAGTTTAGGCAAACAGAAATGTAAAGAACAGGCTGACTATCACTACCCCTTGCTAGCCAAGTTCTGCACATGTTCCCCAGTAAAATTCCCAAACAAGGTCAAGGCATTTAACTCATTATCATCATTATCATTCCTCCTAGACTGAAGGGTGTCCAGACAGATGACAAACACTATATCTAAATAATATGGATCACCAAAATCCACTGCTGCAACACAGCTGCTTTGGACTGGAACACAACAGCTATCCCAAGCCAGGAGTGTTACACAACCATTGCCTAGAAAGGAGGAAGTCAACAAAACTCTGGTTTAAATCGCAGCAGAAGATTAAGTAAGTTAAAACTGGGCTTGGCCAATGACATTCAGACTCCAGCATCTGGGAATGGGAGATCGTGGTAGTTCTAGTGGCCACAAGCCACCAGGAAATTAAAATTAACTTTTCTATTTGGGCGGCTGGAGGCCAGGAGCGCCATGGCCCCTACCAGCACTGAATTAGTCCTAGGTTGACCCAGCCTGACAGCACTTCATGCAACATCTGGATTTTTTTTGGATGTCTCTGCCAAGTTGCAGCTTGTTCCAAGCCTGCTGAGTTCATCAGACTTGAAAACAGGCAGCTGGCTGAGAGCTGGCAGCATCAAAGGCAAGAACTGTGCTGGGAGCAGGGCTGTCCATTTGCCAGCAATCACGGGGGCATCTGCACAGACCAGGCACAGGCCACCGGGGGTGGTCCGGGCTTCACTCGCGTTACCAGCCCCACCGCTGTGTGGCAACGGCAAGGTTGCACGGGGATGGCCAGGTCCCGTCTCCATCCCTGAACGGCTTTGCCCAGGGTGGCTGCACATGCAGAGCAGCCTACCTTTGAGCAAGCTCCAACAGGAGCCGCTCGCAAGGAGGGATTCGCCCTCCATTACACAAGCTGACAGTGCCGGGGGGGTGAGTCATGGCACCTGGGAGGGCAGCTGAGCACACAGGGCTGCCCCGGCAGAGATGCGCCTCCATCTCTCCCTGCCCGTTCCCTGCGGCCCCTTGGGCCAAGCTTGCCCATGGGCACTAACTCCAGCTGAATATTCCCCATCTCTTGTGCAAACTTCCACCCAAGCAGGGTGCTTTTCTATGGCTCCACTTAAAATTTTGGAGCCCTCTGCAAACCACAGGCCATCTGCGTTTTAACAAAACAACAGATCTGGTTTGCAAAAAAATCATCCTCTCTCAGGATGGTCCTACAGGACACGTGGATGCATAAGGACATGAGTGAATGCCACAGTCCCCAGTGGCACCCCAAGCGGAGCCGGTTGGGGTGTCCGTGCTGGCGGTGGCACGGTGGGTGACACGCATTACAGGTGTTTCCTCAGTGGCGCAGCTGCTTGGGCTGAGCTGAATTTTTGAAGAAAGCAAAGCCCTGGTGCAGTGTTTTTGTGCACGTGGAGGGTGTGCCGCGGAGCCAGAGTGTCTGGGACAGCCGCAGTCAGAGGAAGCTGCTGCGGCTGCTCGAGGAGGAAGAAGTCGGCGTCCCAAGGCTGGAGGCAGGGCGAGCGCTGGTTTTTCCCGGAGAGGAGGGGAGGTGGTGGGGGGAAGCCGGAGAGGGGAGCCCAGCCTAAGAAAAGAGCACGGAAGGAAGAGGCTTGGAAAGTGTGCTGCTGATGCGGGCGTGGAGGAGAGGGCTGGGAAAGGAGCTTCTCCCTACAGCTTGTCCCTGCAGAGAGGAGGACGCAGCTTTTGCGAGATGTGGGAGAAAGGGCTGAGGTTTCGAGCTGGAGGGAGTAGAAGGAGCAGTGACACATCGAGCAGACATGGCCGGGGGAGGTGGAGAACTGCTTCCAAGTGGAAAATAAGCCAGGAAATGGTGGCTGGAGGGTAAAAACTGAGTAGACTAAGAGAGAGGGAAAATGTCACTAGCAACCAAAAGTCATCATTCAGTGCTGCCATAAAGGCCTGCACTGAAATGTGTGTGAGTTGAGAAGCATCCTGGAGCAGCCAAGATGAATAAAAAACAAAACATTGCCCTCAGGTATCTGTAGCAAACACGCAATCGGTCTTACCTTACATACCCATGGCTTCATTTCACCATCGTTTTTGTTTTGCTCAGTTAAAACACTTAAGCTTTACCTGGCACCATTTAAATCCAATGAAAGGGAGCATGAGAGCAGGGAAGGGGCATATATTTTTTGCTGGAAAATCCTGTGCACAAGCAGAGAGCAGACAGAAGTCACGCAGTCAGGAGCAGGCTAGAAACATCCAGCAGTAAGTGGGGCACGCTCCTCCACTGCATGGAGAAGCCAAGCCAGCAAATACTGGGGTATGCAGCCCCAAGGGCAATGGCAACTAGCCATGGGGCAATGCCAGGGCAGGATTTCTAGGGAGCTGGGGCAGGAGAAGAGGTCTGCTACGTTGCAGCCACACAGCTCCCCAAAAAGGGGTCAGATAGTGGTGCTTTCTGGGTATGGGATTTACCAGTCAGTTCTGCTAAACCCAA